CTCCCTCATCTTCTTTCTCTGGAATATGGGGATCCAATGGCAATAGACAAGCCTGATTTGAGCTCAGATCTTGACACCCTGGTGCTGTGTTTTTCCTTGGACATAACTTTATTAGACTTCTGCAGTTGGAGGGTGTCCACACAGAAGGAAGAGGACACAGAAGGAAGAGGCAACTTAGACATCACTATGTTGGTTTTAATAGCCAGTCTTTCCAGATATTCTCAGCCTGCAGCTTTTAGTGACCAAATTATAAACAGTTAAACCCACCAATAAGCCTGAAGCCTCTTTTCATGTGTTCCATTTGGCCAAAATGTTGGGTATTCATTCATATAGTTTAATTTGTTCGGAGAAGTTCTGGAAGACTGTTAATGTGCATATTTTGTATTAATTTCACTCTCCATTTTTTCACAGCCTGGAAACTGTTTATCAAAAACAATCCTACCTTTTACTTGATTTATGTAGTAAACAGACCAATTAAATGGCTTCTCTTATCACTTCTTTTCCAGTTCCAACTCAGCTGTTTGTTACTTCTATGCTTCAAAGCAGGCACATTTACTTCACTGAAAACTGAACAGACAACTGAAAACAAAATCAGTTTTAAAATGTCACTATTTAAACAGGAGAAACAGGTTGACAATATTGCACAGGTGAAAATGACCGTATCTCTACATGAATATTATTGCATAACAACAGATTATTCATAGAGGAAGAAGAATTACACCCTGCTGGAACCTACTGGTAAAGTAATGTAGATTACATTCCAATTAGTTTGGAATGTTTAGAAGATAATCATTCTGTAATTATATTCGGATATTATATATCAGTTAGGTAAACTGTAAAGTTAAGTAGCAATCAATTCTGCTGCCATCCAAATTAAAATTGAAACAAACACGTAATAGAATGCAAACTCTTCCAACTTAGTGTCTTCTGAACACGTTGGGATAAAATTCTCAGAATCAATTAACTGTTTTGACCAGAAAATCTGGGAGTCACAATTCCAGTTTGTCTGGGAATGTGCCCACTGAGGAAAGCTGTTGTGGAAAACTTTAGACTGAAATTATAGAGGGAAACCTCTTCTGACCTGTTTGCTGAAACAATTTAAAAATGTGATNATGAAATATTCTGGGGAATATTAAAAAGGCAGAATATTATGTTTCCCTGGATGAGAAAAGGAGAAACATGTTTTAAACACAAAGCAGCTTCCTGCCCCCTCCCTTCAGCTCCAGGGTGATGGGATTAAGACATGGCTCTCAGGACATGATAGGATTAGCACTCTACCCATCTCACCACATGGCACCTGAAAAGATTACATCATCCAGCAAAGCTCAAGCAAGCTTGGGACACAGACAGCCTACAAAGTTAACTAAGACCCCTGCCCCCTGGGAGTCTGACAGCCAATGGGATACATTCCTTGGACAGGGACAGGAAACTCTAAATACCCAAGATCTCTTCCCTTTTTTCTTCAAGGTCTTCAAGGCAAGTGAGCCCCTTTTTCCCCAGGACCTTAAGCCATGTGGTCCTGTCCACCATCAATAAGACCTTTCCAAGCAACTTCCATGAATCCAGTATCTTTTTCCCCACTTGGAACCGAACCCAGAAGGATATTTTTTCCAACACTTCCAATAGTATCTCTTACCCCTGTCCCGTTAAAATCGATTATCCTTGCTAAGATAGCAATGAGCCGTGGTGGCGCAGTGGTTAGAATGCAGTACTGCAGGCTATTTCTGCTGGCTGCAATTCGGCAGTTCGATTCTGAAAGGCTCAAGGTTGACTCCGCTTTCCATCCTTCCGAGGTGGGTAAAATGAGGACCCAGATTGTTGGGGACAAAAGGCTGACTCTGTAAACCGCTTAGAGAGGGCTGTAAAAGCACTGTGAAGCAGTATATAAGTGCTAGGGCTAGTTCTAAGATGCTGAATGACTTATTTTGCTTGTGTCAGATGCTCAATTAGGGCATTTGAGGACGGTCGTAAAAGTGAAAGTCATGCAGAGGCAACCATAGTGCTTAGAATGCTTTATGGAATGGAATGGCATGCAGTTGGTTTCTTTCTTGCCTTACCACCGAAAACTTCTTTTTGCAGCGAAAAGGTTGAACATAACTTCTGGAAGCCTAGAAGCACTTGGCGGTGATGTGTCAAGAGGAGATTTGTGAGTTCTGTTTTAGTCGACGGGTTTCAGAAATGGGAAACAAAAGAAACCAAGATCAGAAATAGGAATTTTGCAGGAATAATGGGTGCACTGTGTCTTTTAAATGATGGGGAAGGATGTGATAATAACATTTTACCATCTGAACGGCTGCCACACAGAAAGTTAAACTCGCCCTGTGTTTTCCCAAGGGGCCAGGATATAGAGCAATGGGTGTCAAACTCAATTTCATAGGAGGGCCGCATCAGGGTTGTGTCTGACCACGGGGAACCAGGGTGGGCATGGCCAGCTTGACATCACTCGTCTGGGGGCACCTGTAGCGGCCCGAGCACTCTGCCAGTGAAAACGAGCTCCTGAGGTCCGTTTCCAGCTGCAACGGCCTCTTGCAACCATCTGCCTGCAAAAACGGAGCTCAGGAGGCTGTACATGGCCCTCCTGAGCTCCATTTTTGCTGGCAGAGGCACAACGGGCCGGTCCTTTGCTGTTTCCAGGGCAGCCCCGCAGGCCAGATCTAAACACCCCACGGGCCAGATCCTGCCCCCGGGTGTTGAGTTTTACACCCTTGATATAGAGCAATGGGTGTATGAGATTGGAAAGCAAAATATAATTAAATGTTGGGAAAATAGTATCCTAATAGTAAGGTCAATTCAACACTGCAACCACCAAAAAAACGTAGAGAGGCAATGAGTTTCTCTTTGTTGGTTGTACCAGTAGTCCTTGTCTTACATCTGCAATCAAACCCAGCATTTCAGTTGCTAAGTGAAACATTTGTTAAGTGAGTTTTGCCCCATTTTACGACCTTTCTTGCCACAGTTGTTAAGTGAATCGCTGCAGCTGTTGAGTTAGTAACATGGTTGTTAAATTGAATCTGACTTCCCCATTGACTGCTTGTCAAAAGTTTGCATGACCTTGGGACACTGCAATCGTCATAAATATGAATCAGTTTCCAAGTGTCTGGATTTCGATCATGTGACTATTGGGCAAAACTCACTTCACCCCTTTCTTGCTTAGCAGCAGATATTGTGGTTGTATCAATTGTGGTTGTAAGTTGAGGACTACCTGTTATTTGCGGTTAGGAATGTTCTCAAGGATAAGCTTTCAGAAATGAGGGAATGTGGATTATCAGTGGAGAGAAATAGCTGTATGAATGATGCAGAAGAATGGTCTTCCTTATGTTCTGACCCAGCCTTAGTAGAAAGAGACTCCTTGTCATGAAAAACTTGGTGAAAATTGGGCATGCTTTGATTGTACGTTCAGTGTAGTAAACATAGCGCAAAGCTCTGAGTGCAATAGAATTTTCTGATTGCTTCCTGTATTTATAAGCTATGATTCCCTTTTTGGTAAGGTTGCTCCTTTACCATTAGAAAAGGCACACGTTTGAACGCAGTTCAATGCTAGCTGAGGAATTCTTGGGAGTTGAAGTTCACATATCTCAAATCTGTCAANACAACTTCTGGAGGCAAGTTGTTCCACTGATTAATTGTTCTGTCAGAAAATTTCTCCTCAGTTCTAATTTGCTTCTCTCCTTGATTAGTTTCCATCCATTGCACCCTGTCTTATCCTCAGGTGTTTTGGAGAATAGCTTGACTCCCTCTTCTTTATGGCAACCCCTGAGATATTGGAACACTGCTATCATGTCTTCCCTAGTCCTTCTTTTCATTAAACGAGACATACCCAGTTCCTGCAACCGTTCTTCATAGGTTTTAGCCTCCAGTCCCCTAACCGTCCTTGTTGCTCCTCTCTGAACTCTTTCTAGAGTCTCCACATCTTTTCTACATCGTGGCGACCAAAAATGTATTCCATATGTGGCCTTACCAAGGCATTATAACGTGATTTTGATTCTACCCCTCTGTTGATGCCGCCTAGAACTGTGTTGGCTTTTTTGGCAGCTGCTGCACACGGCTGGCTCATATTTAAATGGTTGGTCCACTAAGTCTCCAAGATCCCTCTCATAGTTACTACTATTGAGCAAGGTACCACATATACAGTTTTGAGCTTAGCTCTCCTCTGCAGATACTAATAATGTATGATGAGAAATCCTGGCAGGCACATACTTAGCAAAGTTTAATGGCCTTGCAGAGATTACTGGAAATGGATGTCAATATAAGGTTTAATCAAGGTTTAATCAAGGCCTAATATAAATGAGGAACCATGGCCTTAGTATCGCAATAGATTCTTCTAAAACGTTGCATTTTTAGAGAACTTAGTACATAAGAATTTCTTTCTGGACTGTATCTGTATCTATCTACTGTATCTATCTTCTTGTTTGAAGTCATTGCACATGTTAATATTCATAGAGAAAAATCTAATAATTGAAAATGCAAATGAGATGGTGAATTGTATTTCAAAATATGAAAGCGTGGCACTTTATCCAAGAACTCTGTCTCTAATGGGTATCTGGTTCTACTCAGAGAATTATTCCATGAACATTCAAGAAATGTGTTCAATTTTGAAATGTCTTTATTATAAAATTGAGAAGATAAGAGAAATATTTTTCTGGCTGCCTGGGGAATTCTGGGAATTGAAGTCCACCCATCTTCAAGATGCCAATGTTGAGAAAGACCAATATATACTGTTTTAATGTTTAGTTAATTTTAATAATTATATCTGGATTTTGTTTATTGTATGCCACTGTTGTTATCATTTTTATTTTGGTTTTATTGAATTTCACTCTAACTGTAATAAAAATATATTCATTTACATATTATATTTATATCTATCCCCAGAATTTGATCCTGGCGCATACAATTAAAAAAACACATGAAAATATCTACAAAGAAGCATTTGGGGGGGGGGGGGAATCTCATAGGTTTCCTTGTCTATTGCAAATGGTTTTTTGTTGTTTTTGGCTTTCTAGCTTCCAGCAGTCTGCAAGTCAAGTGAAAACATTAAAAGAGGAACTGGAAGAAGTGAAGAACATTCTGGGCACTTCTGAAGAAAAGAGGCAGTTGATGGCAATCCAGAATAAGCAGCTTGTGAGTTGATGTTTGCATGCAGGAGTCCACCTTTGGCCAACTGTTACAAACCAAGTTGTGTTGCCTTTTTTTAAAAATTTGGTACAAGGAGCAAGTCAACACACAGCTCAGGTTCCTGATAAACATCTGATTGTTTCTCTTCTTCACTTTCTTTTCATAATCAGGAAAAAGAGAATCAGTCCCTCATTCTTAAGATATCTGCTCTTCAAGAGGAGGTAAGAATGAGTGTGAATACTCTTTGAATCATAGGGTGATAATTTTGTTATTGCTGTGCAGTAATAATAAGATAATATTAAGGGACGCAGTGGCTCAGTGGCTAAGATGCTGAGCTTGTCGATCAGAAAGTCGGCAGTTCAGCGGTTCGAATCCCTAGCGCTGCGTAACAGAGTGAGCTCCCGTTACTTCTCCCAGCTTCTGCCAACCTAGCAGTTAGAAAGTACGTAAAAATACAAGTAGAAAAATAGGGACCAGCTTTGGTAGGAAGGTAACAGCGTTCTGTGCTCCTTTGGCATTTAGTCATGCTGGCCACATGACCACAGAGACGTCTTCAGACAATGCTGGCTCTTTGGCCTCGAAACGGAGATGAGCATTGCCCCCTAGAGTCGGGAACTCTAGCACATATGTACAAGGGGAACCTTTACATGTACCTTAATATTGCTAGTCCTTGACTTACAACCACAATTAACCCAAGATTTCTGTTGTTAAGCGAGACACTTGTCAAGTGAATTTTCTCTCATTTTACGACCATTCTTGCCATCATTGTTAAGTGAATCATCAAATTAGTGAACCAGGTGTTAAGGGAATCTGGCTTCCCCATTGACTTTTTTTGTCAGAAGTTTTCAAAAGGTGATCACATCACCCCTGGGCCACTGTGACCGTCATGAATACATGACAGTTGCTAAACATCCAAATTTTGATCAGGTGACATGGAGATGGTGCAACGGTTGTAAGTGTGAAAAACTGTCTTAAGTCACTTTTTTCAGTGCCTATGTAACTTCNCTTTCCTTCTATTTATTCCCCAGCCAGGGAGGGGCCATTCAGCCTCCAAGTGTGCTTTGCTTCCCGAGTTGTTGTTCACTTCTCCGAACAGCTTTGCGCATATGTGCATCTGGAACAGACCCCCAGCTGTTCTTCCTCCTCCTCACTCACCTCAGCCTCCAAAGGCAGCTGCCTCTCCGGTGGCTGGGAAATGCTGGACAGCCCTGGCGCTGTCTCTGCCTCCGACACAGAGCCCTCATCAGAACCTTCCTCAGACTCCAGAACTGGCCCAGGTTTTTTCCCAACCTCCTCATCGTCCGAGTCTGCCGCCAGCTCAGCTGGCAGGCCACAACAGTAGAGGTGTTTCTTTGGTTTAACATTTTTATTGGGCTGTGAAATAAAGTAAGATACAAAATGTGAAAGTGAATAGGAAAACGGTGGGGAGGAAGAGGGGGAAGTGAGGGAGGAGGAGAAGAAAAAAGAAAGAAAAAGAAACATTGACTTCCGACTCTCTCTGCTGCAGTAGAACAAGGCATTAACATCAAATCATAACGTTTTGGCTTTTTCATAATATGAACAAGTCATTTCTATAAAGATCTATCAATCTAATCGGTAAAACCCAAAATCAAAGTTTTACCCTTTTCCACTTCAAACACAAAGTTCAGAAGCAGTCTCCATGTTGAAATGAAAGTACTTATATTATTTTCTTTAATGAAGATAGCCAATTTTGCATTTCAGCCAGGTCCATCAATTTCTGCAACCATTCCATCCATGTTAGGAATCGAACTGTCCTTCCATTTTTGCCCGCCATCGTATATAATAACAAAGTTCCATTTTTTTTCTCCAGGTCTTTTTCCATTAGACCGAAAAGGAAGAATTCTGGTTTCATCTTTATCTCAAATTTTTTTCAAATTTTTCTGTATTAAAATATGAATCATATTCCCCTTTTTTCCATAGTAGGAGTATTTCTGTGTAAAGTCTTCTTTACCATAGCTGCCCATATGTAGAATAGAATTCTTTAGAATAGAATTATTTATTGGCCAAGTGTGATTGGACACATAAGGAATTTTATTGATTTTTTTTTAAAAAAACAACACATTATATGGATATAAGGAACCAGATCATACCAAGAGAGTTGTTGGAAGGCAGATCAGTCCAGAATTAGTTGAACTAAGGATTTTTAGCTTCCTTTGTTCCTTCTGAAGGAAGTTAGCACCCACCCTCTACTAGAAAAATGAAATATTCTGGGGAATATTAAAAAGGCAGAATATTATGTTTCCCTGGATGAGAAAAGGAGAAACATGTTTTAAACACAAAGCAGCTTCCTGCAGCTCCCTGCCCCCTCCCTTCAGCTCCAGGGTAAGCTCTCAGTGTTTGTAGAGGACAAACTTCCACTCTATTAGAATAGAATAGAATAGAATAGAATAGAATAGAATAGAATAGAATAG